TCCCTTCCCCTAAGTGAACAGTCGCCCCGATCACCAATAGCTTCGTTTGTTGAAAATCTCAACGCCCACCTACACCGCGTGAAGAGGCGATTTAAAGCGAGCCGAGGTTACAGAATACAAACCTCCAACGGGTTCGCAAACCCCACCACACGTTACTCCAACGGCCGATCCTAGTCTAACAGTCGAGGTAGAGTCAACTCTGCTTGCCTGTAGTTGCCTTCCTCATCACAATCCACCTCAACCCTCACCTCTCCTGAAGTCACCTAGGTCGCCTAATGTCTCCAGGACGTCCCCCAACAAGTCCACTCGCTGTGCAACTTGACTGACACGGCAAGGCAATGCGGATGCCTCTACCGCTTGTAAAGCAATGTTCTCCCCATCACTCCGACATTTTAACCCTGCTTTCAAGTGGGTGCGCCCGCTTTCATGGTTAAAGAGGTCTCGCAATAGATCCCTGACTCCGTTAGCACTTAAGGCCACACTCAAACATGGCATTTCAACCCTCCTAACAGCAAATTGAGTAGTGCCTTGAATTGTTGTCATAAAAGGTTTAAAAAAGCACTCCCAGAGCGGCTGATTCATAAGTGACAATAAATGAACTATGAAATGGATAGCCGACGGGTAGATGCCAAAGACCAGCAGGCAAACAGGTAATCGCAATAACTGTACACAGAGGACGGTCAAAGACAGGTGGGTAGGCAGGTAGAGTGGACGGACGCCTACAAAAGACTCGCCAGCAACGAATTAGCGTACGCCATGGGCCGCACACGTGGATGTGGTACCTCCTTGAAGGTAGTGAATTCGGGTTTCATCCCACCAACCTCGTGAGAACCACGCAGCGTTATGAAAGCGCCCAGATTCTGTGTAATGTCACAGTAATTAGGAGCGGAGAAAACTGTCACGCAACGACCATCATGAGCAACCTCATAGCCCTGCTCCTTCACCTTGAAATGCGAAAATTAAGCAAAACATGTGCTTTAGTAAGTAAATAACTACTTAGTGAGCAGCATTTGTAAGCCCTCGCAATTAATATTCACCTTGACAGTACAATGTGACAAATGGACGCAGGAGTGGACTCAATTGCCGACTTTCATGTTCTAGTGACGTTTATAAGTAACCAGCATCCAAACAAAGGCCCACTCATTCTCCACAGATGCACACGTCTTCAAAAGGATGCTGCCAATGCAATTTTTTTTCTACATAAACAATCGAGATAGGCAAAACAACTATTTTAAAGAAATGGCCTAGCTTTGAGTGATGCTTTACCAATGCATTGCAGTGCAATTTGCCAACGAATGACGTAAATGAGAAAAACTACCGAGACTTACGCAACTCTACCCCATCGTCAATTCACACATCTCCTTATAGCAATTAACTATCGCCGCATGACACCTCTTCGCTTCTAACTCAGGGTAGATTTAAATGTGTCCAAATAGTATCCAATGCAAAAAAAGTTGACACGGATAAGGCGACAAGAGGGAAACTACCCAGACACGAAAAAGTAAGCCCCATAGCGTGGTCTTAGAGCACAGCACTTGAATCACTTCAACCTTCAAAGAGTGTGGAAATAAAGGATTAGAGACGCACCTCATGACTGCGAATAATGTAGTCGAGACCATTAGAGTCGCAGAAGGAGTGCGTCACATCTGGGCCAAATTGACAACCGACACCGCGTTTTGAGGGTGCACGTCCCCGCGCCTCCATGGGGTCGGACCACAGGATTTCGCACATCAGTCCGTCATCCGGGGGCTGACAGTTGCGTTGGATGTTACGCAGATCGTCCAAACTTACGTTGTCGGAGCTGAAGAGACCGCCGTGCATAGTCTGAGGGGAGAGATTAGCCAAACTATAGGCAAATGCCAATTTGGATCACTTCCATACGTTAAGAGATGTTAAGAGATGGACAACCGTGAGGTGGACTAAAAATTCTACTACTTCTTTAGAAAGTCACCGATTAATAGGACAATAAAGTCTAATGGATTGACCAGCTAAACCCGAATTCAATTATGCACGAAAGATGTAACATTGAAGCTGGAAATCTTTAGTCTCACCCCTACACATACGAGCTTTGTTACAGAGGACAGAATCAATGCAAACAGCACATTGTTTTTCAAGTAAAGCCAATTCAAAACGCATCTCAATGACAAAGAAAGAGAATAGCTATTATGAGTGTTGTTATAAGTTTCAAAAGCATCATCTGCAAATCCTCCCTGATATAAAGCCATGTACCACTCGCATAAAGCAGCCGTTCCTCAAGAATAGCCGATATTTCACAACAGCTAATTGACTTAATTAAAATGTAGCTTGAAAGTTGTAATACTAAGCTGCTTTTGGTTTGAAATTCCTACCAAAACACGTCCATTGATGAGGTGAGCCAGTGGAAGCCAGTTGAACACTTCGGTAAAGCTTTCCGCCATCTGATTGTTGTACTTGCTCCTCACTTCGTTCTCAAACCCATACATTTGATTCATGTTCTCCGACTCATGGTTCCCTGTTAAAGGAGTTGGAGGGAAGATCAATGTCAAAGCCACAACGACACGTCTCCATAGAATTTTCACCATATACGGAAAAAGTGCGCAGCTGGATTGCATTAATAAGGTGGTCTCAACCGCAATCAGCTTACCACGAGACATAAAGAAGTAGTCGGGATAGAGGAGCTTGAAACCAATGAGCGTGAAGATGCATTCGACGGAGAAGGACCCACGATCAACAAAATCACCATTGAAGAGCTAAATCATGGAGGCATGAATAAAATTTGTCATTGCTTACATAGGGATTCTCTGGCGACGGCATTCCGTTCAGTGCAAAAATATTAACCAGATCGTAGAACTGACCATGTATATCTCCGCATACTGTAAATTTGGTACCCTGGATGAAGGGTTTGTGGTAGACGCAAAGGGGCAGATACTTACATCAGGAACATCAATATTGACAAGGGAAGGAAGTTGGCGAATATAGTTATAAAATCTACAGAGGAGCTATAAAAAGTAACGGTGGAATTTCGGAACGAAAAAGGACGTACCACCATAGCGTACTTCCGATGTAATTTTCCCTGTGCCTTAAATGTCTCAATAAGGGTATTCATGAACTCTGCGGTAACAGTGTAATCACCATCCTCATCTTGAGGCAAATGTGGCCCAGCATAGGAGGACTCAACGATTACCTGCGAGGGATCATAAGTCTCTAAAGGAGAAAGCCGCTCTTCGTGTGAAATAGCTTGAGCGAATGCACGCATCCGAGCCTTGCGAAAACATTCGACGTATTTAGAGCATGCATCCTTATCGCCAGGATGCTTTTTCTTAACCTGAAAGAAAAAGCGCCCTTGAATTGCGTAAAGTTAGGCATTTCACTGTACTTCGCATGTCCTCTGCTAGAGCCACAAATGAAAAAGAAAACTTCGAAAATGAGGAAGACCCATTAAGCCGGAGTTTTTAATTCAATAACAACCTCACTACGAATCACCCTGAAGGGGCACAAGAAAATGACCTATTTAACTAAGTATACTAT